CAGCCTCGGCCTGAGGGCGATCTCCTCCGGCCCCGGCTCCCCGCCCGAGGAGGAAGATGCAGACCTTTCTGAAAGGGAAGCGGGTTGGCTACTGGCTGAGCGAGAAGAAAATCAAGAAGCTGAATTTCCAGGCCTTCGCTGAGCTGTGCAGGTGAGGGGCTGGGGGTGGGGGGGACCGGCTCCGGCGCCCGGACCCCGGCCCGAGCCCGACGCAGCCCGGCGGTTGTTTGGGGAGGTTGAGGCGGACGGGGAAGAAGTGGTGCGAGCGATCGGAGCCCTGGGAGGCCGCCGCCTGTGCTCCAGGGAGCGGTGGCCAGTGTGGGCGGTGTGGCAGGGACCGGGGCTCCCAGGTGCTCGGGACCCCAGCAGGAGGCCCCCCCCCAATGCCCAGGGTGTGGTGGGCGCGCGGCATAGGCTGGCAGCGGGCGGCTTGGGGAAATGGGGAACTCCCCGGGGCTTGCCAGAGGCTTAAGGTTACTATCGTGCTGGACTGTTTCCTTGCCCTCTGCCCCTCATTGGACAAGGGCGCCAGTCTGTGCTGAACACCTACTGTGTGCCTCTCCTGCGTTGAGAACATGGAACTGTCACGTCGTGTCACTGGGTTAAGCCTAATTAAAGGAGTAGCAATACTTGGCATGGATGCGATGATTTGCTGTCTCATTAGAACCTGGCAGCCGCCTGGCAAATTGGCCAGGGTGGTGAAGGGGGCCACGTGTTGGAGAAGGGGAACCGGGAGGCAGAGCTTCTGGGGTCCCAGCCAGGGAGGAGGCCCTAGGGACCCAGTCAGTGCATGTGGTTTGGAATGGCCTTTCGCCATCTGGCCTGCTCCCAGGCCCCCCATGCCGTCCGTGCTTCTCAGTGGAGACTGGTGTTTAATAAGATTACGTTCTTCATAAATTACCCAAGTTTCGGGGCTCGGGTCTGCCTCACCTTGCCCTGTAACGATCCCCGGCAGAGCTCTGGGTGGAAGCTGGTTCCAGATAAAAGTCTAGGAGAATCCGCTCCCAAAGCTGTTTGCCAAGTCTACCCTTGGCAGAGCTGATTTTCAAACGTGAGCCCCGCTTGCATGAGTCTCCAAACCTCTTGGAGACTTGGACAGCTGGTGAAGAGGAGCGGTGGGTCTCAGCTGGTCTGTGCAGGCAGGAGCCACCTCTGTGCCCACCTGGGCCTGGCCCTGACAACCCCCTCCCCCCAGGTCTGAAGATGCTGCTGCTGCCTTCTCCCAGGCTGGCGTGCATCTGCGAAAGTGAGCTTCTCCTGGGGGGGCGGGGGTTCAGAGCAGCTCAGGAGTCCACAAGAAATCAGGAGAGCTGCATGTCACGAGTCCTTTGAACATTGCACCCCAGTTACCCACATGGGGGCGGGGTGAGGCATCCCAAGACCTGGAGGAAAGGAACTCAAGTGGTGCCCTGATTAAACATTTGACTGTTAGTTTGGTTTGTTTTTTTTTTTAATTTTTGGAGTGTGTGTACCTTCAAATTGGATCTGACTGGTACAGGAGAATATTGCCCCTCCTTCTCCAGCAGAGCGTCTGGTGGATTTGAACCGCAAGTGCTTGACTGTTAACCAAAATCTTGGTGATTTGAACCCACCAGCTTCTCTGAAGGAGAAAAGACCTGGTGGTCCATTCACACAGCCCCTGAGACCTGCAGCCCCTGAGACCTGGGGAATCCTGGCTAATACCTTCCCAGCCTCTACACACCGCTGTCTGTCTGTATTTGTGTCATCCTGGGCTTGCAGTGAAGGCATGAGCTGCTCATCGCCTTGGTATGTTTTGCTTCATAATTAGTAGGCTAGCAAAACAGCCCTGGCCTAGCCTGGAGACCCGGTCCTTACGCTGGACTGGCCCATCCATCCACTTTCCCTCCAGAGGGATCCTCTGGCCTTTAAAAAGGGGAGGGTCCCAGCAGGCCCTCCTGTAAGGCCCGCTGGGAGAAATCAGTCGGGAGTAGAGGTGAATTTCTCATGAAGGAGTAGTTAGTTGCTTGTGGGCAATTTGTGGTTGCCGTGGACAGCTCAGAATAGTGGCTTCCGCGAGAAGGCAGGGAAGTTCTCGGCCATTCTAGAATCCTTGGAAGCCACCCTGTGCTTTCATTAGGGAAGCCTGAACCGCTTTGTCACTTAAGCTTAGGAATGAAAGAAAACAGGGGGGGAAAAAGAGTTTTTCTGTTTCTTCTTTCTTCCTTTTCCATCGCCCCCTGGTGGTCACATTTGAAGTCTGAGTGCAAAATATTTTCTTCATCTGCTGAGACTGGGGGACCAGAGCCTAGGCCATGTTTGGATTGGTTTGAAGGGTGGGTACCGTTTCAGGGGGTGACCTGCACATGTTTTGAGCACCGGGAATCTGAGGAGCGTAGCACTTTTCTATTGATGGATGAGGAAGTCCAGAGCAGGCTGACGGCGAGGGGCTGGGTGTCCCGGCCGGAGGATGAGGATGAGCGCTGTTTAGTTGTATGTCAAGTCTTGTCCAAACCTCACAGCGGGAAGGGATGTTGGCGCTCCTCTCTTCCAGCCCTTTTTGTTTTTACAGATGGAGAAACAGGCTTGACAGGAGCTGGCTTTTTCTGCGTTTGCTCCTTTGATTAAACCGTTTCTCCCAGGACATTGATCTTTTTCCCGGCTGCTGCCATCTTACTTGTGGACACCTTCCCCGGGTGACGGTTGAGCCTTGTTATCCAAGGGGGTGCTGTATAGCAGTGACACCAGTGGGTGCTTGGAGCCAGGCCCTGGAAAGTGGCCCACCTGCCCTGGGTCCCTGGGAGATATCATGGCCAAGCCCTTGAACACGTGCTCGTGACAAGATAGGCGTCTGAATCAGCTTATTTTGTGATCCTGCTGATTCTTCCAGGAGCTCTGGTGATAGAGTGTGTTAAATGTTGAGGTCAACGTGTTAACTAAAAGGTTGGTGGTTCAAATTCCATAGATCCTTTGAGGGAGAAGAATGAGTCAGTCAAGATTTACAGCGTAGGACACTGTATGGCCGGTCACATGGGTTGACATTGACTCTGGCATTGACTCGATAGGTGTCTGGCCCCTTGGTTCCTCTGTGTCGTCCCCCTCCACAGGGGGTAATGCTCTTGGTGTTTCTCTTCCTCCTTCCCCCATCCTTCCTCTCCTCCCAACACTGGAGCCCGTTACAACGACTTCACACTCTCACTTTGTGGTTTTATTTCGAGATGCCCACAAGGGACTTAAAGGGGAGGCTTAAAGAAAGCAAGCTGTCGGGTCTTGCTTATCTGCTGCCGCTGTGACAGTTGCCGTCAGGGGACACGGCTGAACAACAAGCACACTGCTGTGAGTCGGGGCTGTCTCAGAGCTGACCCTCCGGTGGGTGTTCAGAGGCTGTCAGTCATACGGGAGGAGATGGTCCATCTTTTCTCCCACTGAGCGGCTGGTGGATTCAACACGCCTGCCTCTGGGTTGGCAGTGCAGCTCCCTACCGATTAGGCCATAGCAGTGGACATGTACCCTCTCATGTTAGGAGGCGGGAAGTCCAAGTGCAGGGAAAGGCTCTCTCTGTGTTGCTTCTGGAAGTAGCTCCTCGTTTCCTTCACCATCTGAGACTCTGCTTCCTTAGAAATGTCCACGTGGCTTGGTCTTCCCTTGGTTCTAGGGAGCTGGCTGCTTCCGCAGCAAACGGGATCCAGAGAGTTGCATTCCAGCCTGACGGTGTTTCAGGATCCCTGCTTTCCGCCTGCATTGCCCACCTTTTCTCTCTTGTGAGGTAGATGATGCAGCAGGCCACCCCTTAGGGAAGTGTGATGGGATTAAGGAGAGGACCAGCTCACCCTTCATCCTTTTGAACAGTTCCTGGAGGATCACTGCAGAGCTATATGATATCACCACTTGCATGTATTATTATTATTATTATTATTATTATTATTATTATTATTATTATTATTTTGTGCATGTACCATTAAATCAGATCTGATTGGTACAGGAGTAGATTGTCCCTCCTTCTCCAGCAGAGCATCTGGTGGATTAGAACCACTTAACCTCTAGGATTGCAGTGCAGCTTCTTGCCACTAGGCCACCGGAGCTTACCTGCCTGCATGTATGTTGAGGGGCACAGTTCAGTCCCTGGCAGGTAGGCAGGTTGGGTGATTCCTTGTCAGGCCTCCATTGTGCCCCGTTGGGGAAAGCTGACTGACCTGCGGGTCCCTTGTCCAGGGTTCTCTGTGTCTCTCCCTGCTCGTTTGCCCCTTTTCTGTGGCTGAACCTGAGATGCAGGAGCTGGTCGCACCGTGTGATGACACATTTTATGTTAAACCTCAGTGACACCGTGAGGTCGGCACCCCCATTGAGGTGACTCCTGATGCTGTTCCCCACCTCCCAGTTCCATGACCTCCTCCCGTACCAGACCACAAAGAATCTGTGGTAATGTTTATTTTCAGTTCTTCCTAGAAGAATACGTGATGGAGTTGCCAATTGTGTCACATTAAAGTACGTGAATATCTAGCTATTAGAATCATGGTAGCAAAGGAGAGGAAGATCCTTCGTGAGATGGATTGATAAAGTGACCGTAACAAGGGGCTCAGGTATATTAGAGCAGATGAGGATGGAACCAGAGAGGACAGAATTCAGGCTCGTTGTTCAGAGGGTTACTGTGAATCTTACGTGATTCAGTGGCAGCAGCCAACAACACAGCACTATCAGGAAATTGTTTTGTAAAATCTCTCTGTGTGGAAATACAGTATTATTGGTAATGGAGTTATTGTTGTGTACTGTTGAGTCGGAACCGACCCATAGCTGACCCTCCAGCAAGGCAGTAAAAATGTCCCGGGAGGAGAAAGTCCATCTGTCTCCTGCGGAGCAGCTGGTAGATGAGAACTGGGTGTCTCTGGGTTCACAGCATTTTACCACTAGGCCGCTCTAGCTTCCCTTTACTGATTTTTCTCCTCCTTTAATTGCTGCTTCATTCCTCCTAAAAGTTAAATGTCAGTTCATAAATACTGATTAACACAATACTGTAGCCAAAATGCTAGAAAATTTGACAGAGACAGAGCAGCAGCGAAAAGAATGGCCTGCTTGCAGTGCGTGCGGACAGACCTCAGGACTGAAGTATCATTATCATTGGGTAACAACGACAGTTCTGATCAGAGGACATTAAACCCCAAACCCACTGCTGTTGGAGACAGTTATGACTCATAG